TTGGCAAGTATTCATTTTTTAAGGTAATAAAGTTGAGGGGGACAAAGAGAAGCTGACAGGTTACAGAGTGGATTCTGTTTTGGTTTGGTTTTGTTTAAAATTTTTGTTAATCCTCACCTGAGGATATTTTTCCCCATTAATTTTTAGAGAATAGGAGAGTGGGAGGGAGGAAAAGAAGTAGAGAGAGGGAAGAAAGGGAGAAACATTGATGTGAGAGAGACATATCAATTGGTTGCTTCCTTCATGAGTCCCAACCAGGGCCAGAGATCAAACCTGCAACCCAGGTACCTTGTCCTTGACTGGGAATCGAACCCAGGATCCTTTGGCCCATGGACCAGCACTCTCACCACTGAATCACACTTGAAAACCCATTATAAATGGGAAAAGCTAATATAACAAGAACTATAAGAATGTATTAGAAACTCGGCATTAGTCACTGGTAATTTAGTATATGTATTGACCTAAGGAGACATTTTCTCCCCAGCAATCATGCTGATGTGTTTCCTATGCTTTCTGATCAAGGACTTTTTCTTTTCTTGTTGACAGGCTAATGAATCCCTGAGCCGGTTACGCCGCTCTCTCTATTTGCGAACACAAGTAGAGGAACTCAATGAAAAGAACTAATCTTACATTTTTAAATGTCATTGGATTTTTTCATTATGTGTTGATTTTGCAACTTAGAAACTGGAACTTTTTTGAGTTTTGAATTTGACTGTTTCAGTATCTTTTCTTAATAAAAGAAAATGCTTGCAAAATACTGGTATTCTTGCGAGTTGTCACTTGAGATTTTTGGTTTGTGGATTTTCACTGCTTGTTGAGGTTTAATGCTGGAAGGAGCTTGGGTGTGTCCATCAAAATCAAAGTGGCTGCTGGTCAGTTGGCACTTAACACTGAGAGCCTGTCCTGAGTTCACTGCCTGTGCGGAGGGGAAATAGGCGTGTGTTTGACATTCACTTTCATTCTTAGGCTTTGCTTAGAATCATCATTTATTTATTTTTAAAAAGTTATTTTTATTATAGTTGACATATAATAAATAATATACTAGTTTCAGGTGCACAACATAGAGATTCAGTATTTATATACTTTATAAAGTGATTACAATAAGTCTAATAACCATCTATGACTGTACATTCATTTCATTTTAAATACATAGCTGTTGGAAGACTTTTATAACCTATACTAATAAAAGGGTAATATGCAAATTGGTCATGATGCCTTTATAGTAACAGCTGACCAGCAGGCTGTGTGGGGCGACCATGCTGGCAGGAAGGGCAGTTAGGGGTGATCAGGCAGGCAGGCAGAGAGCAGTTAGGAGCCAGCGGTCCCTGGGGTTGGGCCGAAACTGGCACTTGCACATCCCCTGAGGCACATGTGTCAAACACAAGGCCCGCGGGCCAAATCCATCCCGCCAGGCCTTGCAGTGTGGCCCGAACCGTGCTGTCATCACTGCACTCCGCTGCGTTTCCATCACAATGACAGTTTATGACTGTTCAGTAAACCATTCGGCCCTCGATTTAGGCTGGATTTTAGATTTTGGCCCCTTCTCTGATTGAGTTCGACACCCCTACAGGGGTTTCTGATTGGAGAGGGTACAGGCTGTGCTGAGGGGACCTGTTATCCAAGATTTCACTGAATTTCATGCACCGGGCCTCTAGTTATATTATAAAATGTCATTTAAAATGTTTCATCTTAAACTAATATTTATGGAGATAAATATTTTTATATGTTGTCAAATACTGTACTAGGTGCTTTACATATATATTATCTATATAATCCTATGAGGTAACTATTTTTAAAAAAATATATTTTATTGATTTTTTTACGAAGAGGAAGAGAGAGGGATAGAGGGTTAGAAACATTGATGAGAGAGAATCATCGATCAGCTGCCTCTTGCACAACCCTACTGGGGATTCCTTGACCGGAACCGAACCCAGGACCTTTCAGTCTGCAGGCTGATGCTCTATCCACTAAGCCAAACCGGTTTTGTCAAGGTAACTTTTTTATTCTCACCTGAGGACATACTTTTATCTATTTCATTCTATTGATTTATTTTGCTTTATTTTATTTTAGAGAGAGAGGAAGGGAGAGACAGAGATAGAAACATCACTGTGAGACACATCGATTGGTTGCCTCCCACACAGGCCTCAACCACGGTCTGTGCCCTTGACTGGAATCAAACCTGGGACCCTATAATTACAGGCTGATGCTCCATCCACTGAGCCAAACCGACAAGGGCAGTGTTACTTTTTAACCCCGATTTAATAATAAGTTAACTGAAGCTTAGCTTAATTTGCCCAATTGCACGCATTTCTGGAAGATTTAAGCATCAACCTATAGTAGGTCATAAATCTTTGTAAATTTACAACTAATGGTATTTAATCTGTTATTCAGGATTTCACTGTTTCAGTGTTTGACAAGGGTAATGATAACAGCCTGATATCATAGATTTGCTTAAAACGACACCCTCAATGTTTTCAGAGTATTCTGTATCTTTCAATCAGATCAGAGTCAGACTTACTGTATCTTAACTATAACACAGTGATCACTTGCTATTTGTATCAATATCTGAAAATGGGGATTCTGAATTAGCAATATATTAAGGTTTTATTAGTTAAGAATATACACTCATGTTTTTTGTTTTTTTTTAAATATATTTTTATTGATTTCAGAGAAGGGAGAGGAAGAAACATCCATGATGAGAGAATCATTGATCAGCTGCCTCCTATGAACCCCCTCCTATGAACCAACTCGGAATTGGAGCCTGAAACCGGGGCATGCTCTCTAACTGGGAATTGAACTGTGACCTCCTGATTCATAGATCGAAGCTCAAACACTGGGCCATGCCAACTGGGCACTCTAATGTTTTTTTTAATGAATATCTCCTGGGAACTGAAAAATATTCCCAGATCCCAATTCCTGTGTGTGTGTGAGTGTGTGTGTGTGTGTGTGTGTGTGTGTGAGTGTGTGTGTGTGTGTGTTCCCACATCAAGGATTCTTGATCGCCTGCAGGGTGTCTTGAGGACTCATCTCAATTCTGACAGTCTGCATGGGGATAGAATGTGACTCCAGTTTTAATAAACACTCCCTCAAAGTCACCTGGCCTCGTATTGTGAATTTTTCTTGCACAAACTCAAGAACCCACACAGAACTGGCTGGGCTGGGGCCGTCTCATACAGGGCCAGGCTCCCTTCCCAGTGACAATGGCTCATGTATGCTTTCTGGTTCTCCAACATGGAGGCTCTCCCCAAAGAGGCCAACTGGTTGTCCTCTGGGTTTTTAGATTTTTAAATTGATCTTTAGAGAGAGAGAGGAAGAGAGAAACATTGATGTGAGATCAAAACATTGATTGGCTGCCTCCCATACATGATTGGGAATCAAACCAGCAACCTCTTGATGCACAAGTCCATGTCAACCAACTGAGCCACACCAGCCAGGGTGGGCCTCGTCTTTTGGGTGGAATTTGGGGAGGTGGGCTTCTCAGTCAGGGAAAATATAACAAGTGGTGGGAGGAGTCCACAAACTGGTCTTAGCTGTGTTTTGGTGGGATGCCTCTCTCACCAGAACTGAGCACATACAATGAAAAGAAGTTGGTTGGGAGGGTGGGATTCCAGATTTAACAGAAAACAGAGTAAATCCAGTGTAAGAGAGAAAGAGTGTGGGGTCAGGCAGGCTCTTAGAGATTCTAGGCAATTAACCTGACCTCTCATCAAAATAATTATATCACTAGAGGCCTGCTGCATGAAATTCATGCACTGTGTGTTTGTGTGTGTGTGTGTGTGTGTGTGTATTCCTCAGCCTAGCCTGCACCTCTCCAATCTGGGACCCCTTGTGGGATGTCTGGGATTGGGCCTAAATGGGCAGTCGGACATGCTTCTTACAATCCAGGATTGCTGGCTCCCAACTGCTTGCCTGCCTGATTGTCCTTAATCATTTCTGCCTGCCAGCCTGATCATCCTCTAACCACTTCCTTACGGGCCCAGACACCCCCAACTGCCCTCCCCTACTGGCCCAGTCACCAGTAACTGCCCTCCCCTGCTGGCCTGGTCACCCCTAACTGCCCTCCTCTGCCAGCCAGCTGGCTCCCAACTGCCCTCCCCTACAGACCTGGTTCTCCCCCACAACTGTCCTCCCCTGCAGGCCTGGTCACTCCCAGTTACCCTCACCTGCAGGCCTGGTCCCTCCACCACTGCCCTCCCCTGCTGGCCATATTGTGTCCACATGGGGATGGCCATCTTGTGTTGGAGTGATGCTCAATTTTCATATTTAACCTCTTTATTATATAGGATTGGTTTGCATGAGAATAAAGTGAGATAAAGTACTTTGAACATGCAAACCCAAGATAGATATTTTACAAATGTCTCACCTGAACGTTAAGTTCCAGGAGAACAGAGATGGTGTGCTTTGTTTGCTGATGCACTGCTCCAGTGCCAATGATATCTGGTCCATATTAGGTACCCAAGAAAGAGGGAAAAGGCCTGTGGCATTTTCAGGTGTAGCGCTGGGGAGAGTGTAGAACATGGGAAGGATGCCTCTGAATTCTTGCACACAGTCAAAAGGAACATCTGGGAAGATGGGGTGAATTAGAGTAGGAGCTGGGAAGCTATTACCTATGCCTGTTTTTATAAATAAAGTTTTATTGACAAACAACTATTCTCATTTATTGACCATGGCTGTTATTGCACTATAGTAGCAGTTGACTAGTTGCAATAGAGACAGTGTACCTGCCAATATAAATGAATAAAAATATGAATTAGAAAGACTTGGTAAAAACATGAATTATTCTTGGGTTTCAAAAACTTTTGAAAACATTATAAAATTTTATTTAAAAAATTCACAAAATAAAAGTTAAATCAGCCTGATATTTTGAGTAACCTTGCAACTTAAAAATAAAAATCAAGTATTACAAATGTTTGTTGATTTTTATTTATAGTAATTCCCTGAAGATTTAGTTTATCTACCAAACCCTTTCACCATGTGCAATATGAACTATTTAAAAAAAAAAAAAAGTTCTCTCATTAAACTTAAAGCGTTTTAAATTGCTGTACCATAACCTTCAATCTAGTGACATTTTTATAAAAAGAGAAATCTATTTAGACTACAAATACATAAAAAACAGCTTCATTTAGATTTTTGGGAAGAAATGCAGCTTTTTAGTTAGCATGGAGGCAAAGCAGGGGATCTGCTTCTTTCCAATTGCAGTTTTGTCTACGCAGAAGTCCACTCGGCGTTGAGAAACTTTCCTGTTCACCAGCGTGAGGATTTCTGTGAATTCTAAGGAGGAGCCGAACCTTTTCAGCATCTCACACAAATCTTGAATGTACCAGGAGCCATTCACAGTTTCCCGATGAGAATAATAACCTAAGAAAGAGGAGGAAAAGGGACACTGAAGTTGTCTGGCATTCAGTTACCGTAACTTAAAACACCTTTATAATCACAAAGGTATAAAGCCTCAAAAAACCTTGGAAAAGACAAAGATGTGTCCATGATTCAGTTTTGTACATTTTCCCTGTTGACTATTCTCATGTGGGAAAGGGATCAATTCTATATAGTTCTATCAAAATGGGGTTAACTCTACTTAATTAGCTAAAAGTTTCCAAGATAGTAGTAGCCAGGCGATGATTTTGAGAGAGGAGAGATTAGAAAGAAGGATGTCATAAAATTACTGCAAACCAACAATCATCACCAAATATTTTCAACAAAGCTTTCCATGTGTATGACCAAATGACACTATTGCCAGCAGTAATTCCTAGCAGGCTGCTAATATTCAATACAACTAGACCCTGGTAGCTTTAGACCTGGGAGTTCTCAGGGATGACTGTTCTGTAAGGCATTCTTACATTTTCACCTGTCACTCTGTGCCACTTGGCCAAAGAAAGCCACCCTACGCCTGTGAGCTTCAGGGCCAAACCACCTGGTCCCAACAGAAAACCGTGATCCACGCCAAGCCAAGATGAAGCTCACAGGAACTGAGCCCCGAGAGCCAATCCTACGTGTGTATTAAACACCCACACACCTTCTGCCACAGAGTAGCACATGAGGAAGTCCGCGCCAGCAGGCAGGGTGTACACGGAGGCCGCATCCACCTCGGTGAAACCGCCATCGGGCCAGTCCGGATGGTCCACCTCGTCCAAAGGCAGGACTGGCACATCGTGCTTGTTTCCCCGACATGCCTGCAAGACACGGAGGACAACCGCCTCACTCACTGACCTCCCCCTGCTTACTGTTTACCTCGGATATATATATATATATATATATATATATATATATATATATATATATATATAATTCAGTACACCTTCATGTGGACACCAACAGAAGCCACTTCATAGGCATTTTATTTTTAATTTTTAAAAAAAATTTAAAGAGTTTTAAAAAATATATATTTTATTGAGATTTTACAGAGAGGAAGAGAGAGGGATAGAGAGAAACATCAATGAGAGAGAAACATTGATCAGCTGCCTCCTGCACACCCCCTACTGGGGACATGCCTGCAACCAAGGTACATGCCCTTGATGGAAATCGAACCTGGGACCTTTCAGTCCGCAGGCTGATGCTCTATCCACTGAACCAAACTGGTTTCGGCTACAGGCACTTTAAACCTCAGCATTCAGGTTTAGAGCAGACTAAAGTGGAGTCCCCCCCCTCCTCAAGTTTTTTTTAGTTAATGTTTGAAAAAATATTGGCATCCTCAACTATACAGTAAATTCTGTTGATTGATAGGTACAGTATAGAGGAGAAAGTGTGATTTAAAAAATTCCTTATAGGTAAATCCTAACAAGCACTTATCACAGCAGCAAGAGTCATCCTTTCTTTTAAAACCTATAGTATTTGCCCCAGCTGGTTTGGCTCAGTGGACAGAGCATCCGTCTACGGACTGAAGGGCCATGGGTTCGATTCTGTTCAAGGACACGTGCCTGGGTTGTGGGCTTGATCCCCAGGAGGGGGTGTGCAGGAGGCAGTCAATCAATGATTCTCTCTCATCATTGATGTTTCTATCTCTCCCTCTCCTTTCCTCTCTGAAATCAATTAAAATATATTTTAAAAAAGAAAAACTATAATATTTGCTTAAATAATATGTTCCCAGACTGGGTTTTGCTTACCTACCGGCAGCCATAAATGGTTAAGGTTAAAATGACAATATTTGACTTGAGAAGTGTGCCTTCTTCCTTTTGCTGCTACTTGAAAGTGAGGTCTCAAATTCTTAGCTGCTAATTCTGACTCACACAAAGACTAGCACTAATTTCTATTCATAAATGACTATCATGGACTCAATTTTGTCCCTTCCCTTCCAAAATGTGTATGATGAAGTCCTAACCGCCAGTACCTCCAATGTGATTGTAGTTGGGAATTTGGTCTTTAAAGATGTGATTAAGGTAAAATGAGGTCCTATAAGTGGCTCCTAATCCACTATGACTGCTCTTGTTATAACATGGGATTAACACACACACACACACACACACACACACACACACACACACAGGAAAGACCGTGAGGGGACAGAGGGATGAGACAGTCATCCACAAGCCAAGGAGAGGGGCCTACAGAGAAATCAACCCTGTTAAACCTTCACCTGACGCCTCCACAGCCTGTCAGAAAGTCAATTTCTATAGTTTAAGCCAGCGTTTTTCAACCGCTGTTCCGCGGCACACTAGATGTTGCCTGGTGTGCCGTAGGTGCAGACAAGACAAGAATTTTATAATTTTTCACTATTTTGTTTACTTAATATTTCATAATAAAGTAATTATAAAATACTTTCTTTGTGTTTATTTGATTCCTATTCAAGAGAATTACTTTATATATAGTCAATATAGGCACAGAGTTAAATTTTTTAACATTTTCTAATGGTGGTGTGCCTCGTGATTTTTTTCATGAAACAAGTGTGCCTTTGCCCAAAAAAGGTTGAAAAACACTGCTTTAAGCCACCCAGTCTGTGGACTTGGTTCTGCAGCCCTGGTCTACTCACTACAGTGACCTGACAGACTGTTAATATAAATGCACCATCGGCGATGAAATGGTTAAAGAACGAAAAGCTTTCAAATGAACAGAAAGTCCTTTAAAAGTCCTGAGTGATTTCAAAGTTTTCAGATATTAAAACCAGGAGATTTTAATCTTATTTAGAATTATCACGTTTATTTTCAGACTTTATTTCCTACCGTCTTCCTAAATATAACATAAAATACCTGGAACTTGATGCCATCAGTTTCCAAATCAATTGCAGTAAGAGCTAGCCTCTATTTTTAAAAAATTAGTTATGTTTTATTTTATTTTAATTTATTGATTTCAGATAGACAGAGGAGGGGAAAGGAAGGCAAGAAGAGAGACATCCATTTGCTGTTCCACTTATTTATGCATTCACTGGTTGATTCTTGTGTGTGCCCTGAATGGGGATCGAACCCACAACCTTCATGTACTGGCAGGACACTCGAACCAGAGCCAGCCTTTAATTGACGGGTTGCCATGTGCTAGGCACTGAGTGTTTTTCATGTGTTAGGCCAGTTTGATTTAACCTCACAACCACGCCCTGAGGAGGTGCGCTTTTATCTCCTTCTCATAGATGAATCGGAGGCAGTGAAGTGTTTTCCTCCTTTGTGGCTATCCTCCCATAGGACAGCTCATTAGTCATTTCCGGTCCTCTGCTCTTGGACAGTGTTGGTCCCCCTTTTGCATGAAGCAGCAGCTGTCATTTTTCTACCTCTCGGGGCCACTCTCCTCGGCATCTCTCCTCTGCTCACTTTTCAGGCTATCCTCGCCGTGGGTCAACTCATTTGCTTCCCTTATCATCCATCTCCTCATTACTCCAAAATTTATTTCTCCAACCCTGGCTGCCTCTTGGGTTCTACACCTGTCCTTCCAACTGCATGTCCCACAGACACCTCAACACAGTTGTCCACACAAGAAACCAAGGAATGATCTGTAACTTCTTTTCTATAGACCCCCACTCCCTCCCCTCGATGTTCTATGGCAAGATGTAGTATGTGGCCATGGTGCCCCATGCCATTCAGAAATACAGAACTGCAGCCGAGACTGGTTTGGCTCAGTGGATAGAGCATCAGCCTGCGAACTGAAAGGTCCCAGGTTCGATTCCCGTCAAGGGCATGTGCCTTGGTTGCGGGCACATCCCTGGTGGGGGGTGTGGACGAGGCAGCTGATCGATGATTCTCTCTCATTGATGTTTCTAATTTTCTATCCCTCTCTCTTCCTCTCTGTGAAAATCAATAAAATATATTTTTTTAAAAAAGAAAAAGAAAAAAGGAAAAAAGAAATACAGAACTGCAGCACTGGGACCTCAGGAATTCAATTTTTTTGTTCAAAATTCTTATTGATGTACCAGATGATGTTATTCAGGCCTAGAAATAGTTTTATCCTAATATCAACTTTTTATCCTAATACCAATCCAGGGGGACACACAACATCTCGGTGGAAGGGAGAGTGTGAAAGGATGAAGCAAGCTAGGACTCGAATGCTCCATGCCTGCACCCCTTCCACCGGCTCACACGCACTGCAGCTCCCGGAGGACCGGCCTGACTGAGCAGGCGCCTTGTACCACCCTCACCCAGCAGCAGGCACTTTCTCTGTGGCTCCACCTGGGTCCCAGGCTGGCCACGAAGGAGCACATCGGTTATTGTGAGTCATTTCAGATGCCCATCCAAGCAATAAAGACACTGAGTGTCTTTATTTTTTAGGTTAAGAAAGAATTACTACCAATAATTGAAATTGCAGCTCTGGCTAGAATTCATAAAGGGCCTTTCCAGCACTGGGGAAAGCTACTTTGGAAGTTGGCTTTAGATCTTAATAATCACAGGGACAGGCCCTGGGCTTTATACTTAAGATGTTAACATCACCAGTCTTACCTGAATGATAAATATCTTGGGTTTTCCAACCAGGCCCTTACACTTGTCTCCTTTGAACAAGCCAGTCAGTGTCTGAATTTCAATTTTGGCATCAAATGCGTAGATGTGGTTGCCTTCACCATGACTCAGGAAAACGCATACAAAGCAGTCGGCATCTACATGGCAAGAGGTTGATGCTAGAAAAACAAAAAAAACAAAATTCAGACAGAAATCAAGATCAGATGCTTATTATCTAAGTATTAAATTCAATTTACTAAAACTAGCATAAGTTAATACTTATGATTGCAGGAGGATGAGAACTTGTTATTCTTAGAATAAATGAAACACAACTTAAAAAATTTTTTTTTAATCTTCACTTGAGGATAATTTTTCCATTGCTTTTTAGAGAAAGTGGAAAGGATAGAGAAAGACAGAGAGAAACACCGATGTGAGAGAGACACATCGATTGATTGCTTCTGGCATGCCCCGACCAGGGCCAGGAGCCTGCACCCGAGGCATGTGCCCTTGACTGGAATTGCACCCCGTACCCTTCAGTCCACAGGCCAATGCTCTATCCACTAAGCCAAACTGGCTAGAGCCACAAATTATTTTAAAAATCAAAATTATTCAAGTTCAAAATAATAGTTTGAACAGATTTCATTAGTTTTTCTAAAACACAGAACAATGACACAAAACAAAAGAGATATCATGGGGAACTCCCTTCAAGATCCAAGCCCTTTTGGCAATAAAAGTTACATGAGTCAGCAGAGTGCCGCTTAGAGTGGACTGGAAAGACCCAGAAACTACTTAATTCTCTTTGAGTTGCTGTACCTCCAATGAATACAGAACCTTTAATGTATGTCTACAGCACTTAGAGCTTCCAAAAGAGTATTAAGACACAATGTCCTCCAAAGCTTATGAGCAAACAAAGTAGAAAATCTGGTAAGCAACATATCATCTAAAATGATATACAAAAATTGTATTTAATAAAAGAGTTATATGCAGATTGACCATCATTCCAACACATAAGAGAGCAGCCCCCATGTGGTCAAAGATCCTGCCCCCATGTGGACACAAGATGGCAACCACAAGATGGCCAGCAGGGAGGGCAGTTGAAAGGGACCAGTTCTGCAAGGGAGGAGAGTTGGGGGCGATCAACCTTGTAAGGGAGGGCAGTTAGGGATGACCAGGCCGGAAGAGGGAAGTTGGGGGCAAACAGGTTAGCAGGGGAGCAGTTAGACCTCAATCAGACTGGCATGGGAGTGGTTAGGGGGTGATCCCGCTGGCAGGCAGAAGTGTTAAGGGCAATCAGGAAGGCAGGCAGGCGAGCAGTTGGGAGCCAGCAGTCCTGGATTGAGAGAGGGATGTCTGACTGCACATTTAGACCCGGTGAGTCTAAATGGACAATTGAACATCCCTCAAGGGGTCTCAGATTGGAGAGGGTGCAGGCTGGGCTGAGGGACACCCCTCCACCCTGTGCAACGAATTTCATGCGCCAGGCCTCTAGTAAAGTAATAAAATGATATGCAGGTTAAAGGAGAACTCTGGTATGGAGATTAAAAAATAAAAAATAGAACTATCATGTGATCCAGCGATACATCTGGGTATTTAAAGAAAATGAAAACGGAAACTTGAAAAAATATATGCATCTCCATGTTCATGCAGCATTACTTACAACTCAGATATGTAAATAACCTGTGTTCATTGATGGATAAATGGATAAAGAAACTGTGGTGTATATATATATATACATATATAGACATACACACACACATTTAATACAAATATATAAAGTAGATTATTATTCAGTCATTAAAAAAGAAAGAAATCTTACCATGCAGCAACATGGATGGACATAGTATGCTAAGTGAAATAAGTCAGAGAGAGACAAATACCATATGATCTCATTTATATTTGCAATATAAAAATGGTCACTAGACATTCTGAAATGTACACATATATCGAATCATTCTGTTGTACACCAGAAACTAACATAATGCTATACATCAATTATACCTAAAGAAAGAGCTCTGCGGAAAGTTTAAATTATATAAATATTATAATATTCCACTGGCCAATGACTTGAAAATCCATGGCATGCAGTGATTATTATGATAAATTGTTAAAATACCTATTACACACTGATATAGAAGTAAGAGGTAAAATATTTAAATCACCAGTATTTTGAAGCCAGTAAAAACTTATCGAGTATGACCTTCAGGAGACAAGTAGGAAAAATCAGTGATGGGATGTAAATAAAAAATACTACATATATTCATATGAATTTAAGAAAAAAAAAAAACACACAGTGGTAACAATGTGAAAAATTAGTACTCTCTTGAATTTGGCAGTTAGTATAATTAAATATGTTACTGTTTATAGTATTAAGCAAGTTTCTATAAATCTGATTCTTATTTTTAATTAGGTTGGCAAACAAGACATTTTCTTTTATATAAAAAATGCTTTTATCTTGAGGGACGGTTTTGACAAATCTATAGGTAGCAATTATATTTTTGGTCCTGGAAAATAGGAGGAGCTCAGTAAATATTAGTGGGCTGCCCAGTAAATAGTATACCAACTGTTCTGTAAATGCATGGTGATTATTTTTAGCTATTGCTTAATTTTTTCAGGCTAATATAAGCAGTTACGTGAATATGTCAGCTAGTTGTAAAAAGTTGATTAGAAGTGTCCTTATTGGGTGATCATGGGGAGGAAAACTTAACATTTTACATAAATTAAGAGATTTGGTAGATTTAATATGTTATTTTTAAGTATTCACATGTTGCAGTTTGCTAAAACTACTTTAAAATTAATATCAATGAAAGTGGCCTTTGTAAGTCATCTAAAAATGTTACAACTCAGTTTATCACTTTATAGCATGCAACTTCTATATGTTTAAAGTTATTTAGCTTTATTTCTTTAAACTTAATAAATCATATAATATATATATATACATATACATATATATATATATATATATATATATATATATATATATATATATAAAATATATTCTATTGATTTTTTACAGAGAGGAAGGGAGAGATATAGAGATCTAGAAACGTCGATGAGAGAGAAACATCGACCAGCTGCCTCTTGCACACCCCCTACTGGGGATGTGCCCGCAACCCAGGTACATGCCCTTGACTGGAATCGAACCTGGGACCTTTCAGTCCGCAGACCGATGCTCTACCACTGAGCCAAACCGGTTTCGGCAATCATAAATATTAAAAAAAATAATAATAAAAAAAAAATACTTAAGAGTACGGAAGGAGTCAATTAAAAAATCACTAGTGTTTGCGTTTTAAACTTTTAAGTGCCAAATGAAAAGGCCATTTTATTCATTTTTAGAGGAACAGACTATAACTAATGGTATCCTGAAGATAAGCGTTGGAGGAATAATACTTTGCAAGGGTCTCTAAATCTGGTGGGTAACATCTTCACAGAGATGCAAAACCAAAAACCTATAACCCATGCCAAATTAATTAGTGAGACTTTTTACTACACAGTTAATTATTTGGATCTGTCTTTACAAATAGGGTTATAAAGTACTCAATGCCATCAGGGGAAGACAAATAGGAAAACTACTTACCCTCATGGATTTCGAGCAGTAGGTCTCCTGCTTTAAGATTGTTAAAGCATTTCACTTCAAATCCTAGTTCTGAAAGCCTGGTGATAGAATCAACTGAATATTAGCTTATGAGCTACGCAAAGTTGTCACATACCCTACTTATTTGAGGAAATTTATATAGTTTTGGTGACACAAACATTGTCTTTTCTTTCATGGAAAAGAAAAATCAAATATGACACTGACAGTTTTCCTGGGTCATGCTCAACAGGAAAGGATTTACTAGTAATGATAACAAAGTTAGAATATGGTGTCTACTCTGCAAATACAGGTGACCCTTGGACAACAAGGGTTTGAACTGCAAGTGTCCACTTTCACAGATTTTTTTTTCTTTAATGAACACCTGTACTGTTTCCGATCCTCTGTTGGGAGTTCATGGATGCAGGGGGTCGATTGCAGGCATTGTCTATGCCATCCTACAGAAGGGACTGGAGCATCTGTTCATTGTGGTACTCACAGGGGTCCAGATCCACTCCCCAGTGGATACTGAGGGACAACTTAGTTATGGAGGAGTCAGAAGTTAGACGTGGACTTTTGGCTGTGCGGGGGCTCAGCACTCCTCACCCTGGAGTTTTAGGGCCAACTATGTATCTGTAACAATGCAGAGCCTGCTCACCGGGAACAGAACAGGGTCAGGAAGGAAACTCAGGCAGGTTCTTAGAGGGGGCTATGCTTTGTCAAAAACTCTTGCTCTGTTATTTCTTCAGTGCAGACGAGTTTCCATCAGTAGTTATCACTTAAGTCAGTGGTTCCCAACCTTTCTAATGCCGCGACCCTTTTTTTATATATAAAATATATTTTATTGATTTCTTACAGAGAGGAAGGGAAAGGGATAGAGAGCTAGAAACATCGACCAGCCGCCTCCTGCACACACCCCACCGGGGATGTGCCCGCAACCAAGGCACATGCCCTTGACCGGAATCGAACCTGGGACCCTTGAGTCCGCAGGCCAACGCTCTATCCACTGAGCCAGACCGGTTTCGGCCCGCGATCCTTTAATGCACATGTGTCAAACACAAGGCCCGCGGGCCAAATCCGTCCCGCCAGGCCTTGCAATGTGGCCCGCACCGCGCTGTCATCACTGCACTCCGCTGCGTTTCCATCACAATGACAGTTTATGACTGTTCGGTAAACCATTCGGCCCGAGATTTAGGCTGGATTTTAGATTTTGGCCCCTTCTCTGATTGAGTTCGACACCCTTACTTTAATGAATCGTAATGATGGTTTTAGGTGACCCAGCTAGCGGTTCTCAACCTGTCCCCTAAGACCATCGGAAAACACAGATATTTACATTACGACTCATTAACAGTAGCAAAATTACAGTTGTGAAGCAGCAACGAAAATAATTTTGTGGTTGGGAGTCACCACAGCACGAGGAACTGTCTGTATTAAAGGGCCGCGGCATCAGAAGGTTGGGAACCACTGACTTAAATAACCGCACCACCCTGACGTATAGGTAAAACTGCTACCTGCGGGTGAGATTGTCTCTGTCTGCGTTGGTGCCTCGCCTGTCCGCCATCCCTAGGTGCCAGAGGAACCTCTCGTGGTTGAAGATTAAAGCCAGTCCTCTCCTCTTGTGGTTCATTTTGTACATGACTCCCGGATCAAACATTTCACTGTTAATGAGAAATGTAAAAAACAATCACTTCAGGTTTTTTTTGTGTGTGTTTTTTTAAAATATTTTATTGATTTTTCAGAGATAGGAAGAGAGAGCTAGAAACATCGATGAGAGAGAATCATCGACCAGCTGCCTCCTGCACACCCCCTACTGGGGATGTGCCCGCAACCAAGGCACATGCCCTTGACCGGAATCGAACCTGGGATCTTTCAGTCTGCAGACCGACGCTCTACCGCTGAGCCAAACCGGTTTCAGCAATCACTTTAGGTTTTATTAAACAGGGAGCTCCTCCGAGCCCCAGGGCCACGTGGAGTGTGGACAGAGGTCTGCCCTTTGCTCCTCCGCAGGCTGACCCGCCCCTGGAGCGCACTGAAGCCCTCAGGGCCACGCCAGCAAGGACAGCCCTGAAATATTTCTGTACCAACAGGTAAACAGCGGCCACTGTGACACCCACCCACCACCCATCTACATGGGTGTGTCTCTCCCCGGGGTCTCCAGGACAGTGGCCTGGCCGAGGCCACACCAACTCTAACATTCCAAACATCACGCTAAGTCCTTTCACAACCAGGGTAATATGCAGGCTAATTACCTACAAATGAACTCTTCCAATGTGAAACCTGCCCTACTCTACTCTACCTTCCTTTTCCCAGCACCTTTCCTGCTTTGATCGTTCCAGTCTGACCATGACCACCACAGGAAGAGACTCTTATTAGAAAAGACAATATTTTTTTACCTCGTGCAGAAGGCATCTGTTTCTGTCATGTTTTGCGTCTCGTCTATTAAAACAAAAGTTGATTTTTGTGAATTTACTTTCTGACTTTTGGCAGCGAAGCAGCAGGAAGTCCCATCTGGATGCCCTTGACCCCCACACACTAAGGGTATATGAAAAGAAGGAAAACTGGTGCATAATAAGCAAATGAACTATACACCGATGGCTTAATTCTCCCTCACACCCAACTCTTAGCTGCAAAGTTGCAAAGAATATATCATGCAGAGAAGTGGAGAAAATATGCAAATGAATTCATTGTAAAATATGCCTAGAATTGACAGTCCTTTGATTATGGAACTCAATAGAAATAGGAAATTGCTTTGTCTATGTCTTTTGTTGTTAATTCTCACTGGAGGAGTGGAAAGACAAAGAGAAACATCGATGTTCGATTGGTTGCCCTGGCCTGCGATTCCTTGACTGGAATCGAACTGGCGCCAAAGCTCTATCCACTGAGCCAAACTGGCTAGTGTCCCTGACTATATCTTTTTTTATTGATTGATTTTAGAGAGAGAAGGGAGGGAGTGGGGGAGAGAGGGAAGGAGAGGAGAGGGAGAGCGGGAGAAAGGGAAGGAGGGAGAGGAGGGTGACGGGGAGAGAAGGGAGGGGGGAGAAAGGGGAACAGTTTGTTGTCCCACTAGTGCATGCATTCATTGGCTGATTCTTGCCTGTGCCCCGCCTGGGATCAAACCCGCAGCCTGAGCGGATTGGGAGCGCCTGAGCGCCGGGCCAGGGCCTGAAGTTGCTGTGTTTTACAGAACACATTTCTGTAAACGTCCTTCCACTCTCACTGATGCGAGCACTTCTTCAACTTTTCTTTGTGAGGAAACAACACCCGACCCAACCTCCAAAGCCAACTTCCCGTGCCCAGGCGCCGGGGACGCCCGGACCCCGCTGACCGGCAAGTGCCCCGGCGCCCCCGGCGCCCCGAGACCCGCCCGGCGCCCCGGACCCCCCCCCAGCACCCGCGCTGCGCTGCTGCCCCGGAGCCCAGCGCTCCCCTCCGGGACCCGCACCTCCTCCCGCCCAGCCACGCCGCGGAGCCCGCGCCCCGGGCATCCCACCTGCAGGCCCGGCCTCCCGGGGCCCGGGCGCCGAGCTCGTCGCCACCGTAGCGTCCACCTCCAGCGCAGCGGCCATGGCCCCGGCCCGCGGTCTCTGCTCCCCAGAGCCGGTCCCGCTTCCTATAGCCGCTCCGCAGCGCCGCCCCTTCTCCGTCCCCGCCCCGGCCCGGAGCCCGGGGCTGAAGGTTCTTCCTTCCAGCGGCGCTGGGGGTGGGGAAGGGTTAGGCGGGGGGCGCGGCGCCTCGGGCCGGGGCGGACGTGCGGGCTGAGCCGCCGGCGCCTGGGGGGACCGACCGGCCACTGGGACGTGTCCACAGGGAGCGTCTGGTCTCCTGCGGGCCACCCTTCCCCGAAGGCTCGCTCTCCCTGACTCGGTCAAGGTTAAGAATGTTGTCTTCGCTTTTCAGGTTGTGAGCCCTGAGGACTAATAATAGGGCTCTTGGTGGCTAACTTGGGGGTGGGGGTGGCTGTGGGGGAGCAGAGCCTAGCAGCCATGTCTGCACAGCGGCCCCTCCTGCCATCTGCACTTCGTGAGGAGCAGCTGAGCCCCTGCACCGAGCTGCCCGCCTGCAGCGTCTCTGCGGCTTAGAGGAGACCCGGGAACCCCCCTTCAACCCAGCAGTTTCCCTGTCCAATCAGAGCTGCGCGCAGCCCCGGCCAATCAGGGGCCCGGGTGGGGAAGGCTGGCCAATCAGGGGCCCTGGTGGGGAAGGCTGGCCAATCAGGGGCCCTGGTGGGGAAGGCTGTACACATAAGCTGGTGCCCTCGGGGAGCGCCCTTCCCATCTGGAGGCCCTGCTGCCATCTCCCAGCTGTCTTCGCAGCCATTCTAACGGTTTAGCGTTTGCATGAGTTTCCTCCTTTACCGCACCCCAAATTGGGGATTGAATTGGTGGTGCTGACCACGGGATGACAACGTGGAGTTCTTTTCCCAGGGAGTGAGTTACAGGATTTCCAAGCCTGGCTTTCTTTGTGTAGAACTTGTGAAAAGTTGACCTACGTGGAGTCATTTTAAAACAGAGCAGGAGCAGCCATTCCAGATGAGCTGCTTGTGTGTCTTGCTCCTAGAACCTTTGCAGTGTTTGAACGGGGCAAAATAACATTTGGAATGGGCCAAGCAACACTCTTTCAAACCACCGTACAGCTAATGGGAAAGCAGATATTCTGCCCATGAGGACTGATGATTATGGACATTTTTAAAAATTCTTAACCAGTGATACAGTGAGCTATAATCTTTTTTGCTGGTGGATGTTGATGAAGATAGTGAATCACAGAAAAGTGAAATGCAATGAAATGAAGTGTGCTTATGTATAGCTAAAGAGTAAGACAGTTTGATGACACCAATAGAAAGTCATTCCTTCTATTCATATAATTATTTCTCTTCCTTTTGTCATAAAAAAGCCATTGCCGTCACCCTGACATTGGAACACAATTTGGGTTTTCGCCATAATTCTATGATTGTAATTCTGTGGTCTCAAATAAATACTTGTTGCCTCTCACTGAAATAATTTATTTGGGAAAAATAAAGAATTGCAACCTGATGCCTGCAGACAATGGTGAGCCACATGCACACACTGGACTGGACCAAGATGGAGAAGGAACTTAAGGGAAGGGACGCTAAAGGGAGTCACGGTTCCACCCATAGAGCTCTGTAGAAACAGGGCCTGGAGGTGACCCAGAGCACACAGCTCCTCCTTGAAAGCCCTAGCTCCTCCCTCCTGATTGATTGTGTCCAAGTTGAGTCTCTGTCATATCTTTTTTTTTTTAATTTCTTTATTGATTATGGTGTCACATAATTGTCCTCATCTCCCCACTCCCATCCCAAACCCCTCCCAATGTATGCCCACCCCGTTGTCCACGGCCACTGATTAGGCTTATACGCATGCACACACGTCCTTTGGTTGATCTCTCCCCTTTGCCCTCACCCTCCCCTACCTTCCCTCTGAGGCCTGACAGTCTGATCACTGTTTCTCCGCCTCCAGGTCTGTTTCTGTTCATCAATTTATGTTGTTCACTATTTCCCCTAGATGCTTTATGTGATACAAGGAATTCCCTTATAAGGACCGAAACTGAGATAAGCCATAATGGTTATGCTGCGAGGCAAATGAATCAGTCTGTAGTGAGTTCCTTTCTGGGCCAACAGTTCTTTGGAGTCCCCATTTCAATGTCAAACAGTTCCTTATGTGTACATGTCAGCCATGGTATTTCACATCTGGTTGGTTGCCATAATTTTTATCAAAGCTAATTTGGGGTCGGAATCATGTAGAAATCGGGAGCCTGGACTTTGGGGTCAGGGGGAAAGTCTATAAATTATGGTTTTTCTTGAGCCAAAGCATATTGTCCTCACTCATAAAATGCTGTCCAGTGTGCAAAGCAGTGTGACGGGGCGCTCAGTGTTGCCTTTACTTGAGGTCTTCCTTGGGTGGTTGGCTGTTGTGTAAATTGCTTCCATTAACTCTGATGAAGCCCTAGCTGGTTTGGCTCAGTGGATAGAACGTTGGCCTGTGGCCTGAAGGGTCCCAGGTCTGATTCCAGTCAAGGGCACATGCCTGAGTTGTGGGCTCCATCCCAAACAGGGGACGTGCAGGGGGCAGGTGATCAATGATTCTCTCTCTCAACATCGATGTTTCTCTCTCTCTTCCTCTCCCTTCTCTGAAATCAACAAAATAAAATTTGAAAAATAAAATAAAAAAGAGTAGTGGGTGAAAAGGTGGCCTTATCTTTTGTACCTTCTCCTGGTGGTGTATTTCTCTGCCTTTCCGAGTAGTTTGCCTTAACAACTGTGGCCACAGACTACCCATAAGATACAGACGGCCTGGCATTCTGGGCTCAGCAAGTCACCAGCCAGGGGTAAGCAGAGAGCACGGAGGACACAGCTGAACTCTCCCAGCGGCTGGAGAGCTGTCTACACTCGCGTCTTCAGAGGCAGTGGAGGTTGTGGGACTTGCTCTTAAACGTCTGTTACTAATTCTTCATGTAAATGAGAGATCTACAAAAGACAGTTCTTCCCTTTGACCCCGACATTAGACTTGAAAAAAACAAACACAACAATACCAAGAACAATTTTTATTAAGACAGCTATTAGTGAAAGGTTACTGTCTTTTCAAAATATCCCAGAATCTACTATGAGGAGCAAGCTAGGGAATAAACATCAAAGCATAACAGCATATAATGCTCTGATGTGTATGCTAAACAACTTTTTCATTTAGCTCATTACATCTTTTCTCCAATTTAGGCAAAGATTATAACAAAATGTGACATTTGTCATATGAATGGTTCATAACGTGGGAGTGGCCGTGCTTCTGAATTTTGTTCCCGTCACCTCCTAGGCACATTACATAATACCTACATATGCTGGTTTTGCTCCTTAAGAGGTCACCAGCTAATGGTTCCAATTTTATAAGAGAAATAGACATGGAAATTTTGTCTTTGTAATTAGAATTGTCATTAATAGAAGTGTTACTTATTCATATGCTCAATGGACTACAGAAAAACAGCATATTTTGTATTAATTAAAATAGAGAAAAAAATAAAGTCAGATCCTTCCAGGCATAAATGTATATTTAAATGTTTACAGTAAACAAATACACCTCTGAGTGAAGGTCTCTCCATATTTCCAAATAATGCTGAACATACCTTATGAATTTTACATTTGACCTCATTTTGGGGGTAAACGCGGTTGTGAAAAACAAGTTACAGAACTTTCTTTAAAAAAAAACCCTCACCCCTTAACATGCACCTCTCTCCGGCACTGGTCAACACAGCCTGGCACACTACGGCAGTGCCTTCCAAGAACACAGCCTCCCCTTTTCTCTTTGGTTTGAAGTTTTAATGTCAAAATAAGGTCTTACAATAACCCTGTCACAAAAATAAGGCACCTTGGTGCTGTACAAACACTAGTTCTTTGCCAAAGGTTATTATGTGCTTTCATCCTCATCTGCCGTCTCCTGTCAGCATCTTCTTTAAAGATCCGTTTTTTCTTCATAGCGACACCAACAGGCGGCCCGTTGGCTGTCCAGGTACGGCTTACAGCCCAGATGTATCACACTGTCAAACAAGAGCTCCACTGTGGTTTCACAGGCTGCAAGGTAAGAAAGTGCCATTACTGTGGGCCACCTGCAAAGCATCGCTCTCTTGTCATCCATATCACAGAGTCCAGCACAGTGTCAAGCACTTAGGCGTATGCTCATGAAAATCCCCCCAGACCCTCGGAAACCGGTAACATATACTGGTATCTTCATACACAAAGACTGTGTCAGCCTCTTTACCATGCACCAACTTGTTTGCATGCAAATAGTCAACCCAATTTTCTGTGCTAGACAAACGGGTCTCTTGCAATAGCACTGAACAATTAGTTCAACACTTTTGGTTTTTCCTTATTTATTACTTTACTTATGCATTTTTGTTAAACCCGAGGATATTTTTTCACTGATTTTTAGAGAAAGAGTGGAAGGGAGGAGGAGAGACACACAGAGAGAAACGTCAATGTGGGAGAGACACATCAATTGATTGCCTCCCACACGTGCCCTGCAACTGAGGTACGTGCCCTTGACTGGAATCGAACTCAAGACCCTTCAGTCTGCGGGCTGACTCTCTAACCATTGAGCAACCAGCTAGGGCTATTTATTATTATTTTTTATCCTCACCTGAGGATATGTTTATTGATTTTCAAAGAGAAAGGGAGAAACATCGATGTGAGAGAAAAACACTGATTGGTTGCCTCCCGAACGAGTCCCCACTAGAGCTCAAACCCGAAACCTAGGTATGTGCCCTGACCAGGAATCGAACCCTCAAACTTTTGGTGTACACAGGATGATGCTCCAGCCAACTGAGCCACCTAGCCAGGGCTCATTTTCCTTTCATCAGAAAAATATCACTGTTAGAGATGCCTGATAGCATTCTTAAGTTTACATTTCAAGGAAAGCTTTTAAAGTGCAGAAAAAAAAATAAAGGTTAAAAACAGAAAACTCAAAACATTTCCTTCTAGCCAATGGCAGCTAAAAACTGATCACACATCATTTATGATGCTTAAAATGAATGGACCTGTTTTTTTTCTTTGACTAATATTCAAATCTAGCTTGGAAGGGGAGACATAGGAATCAAAGGTGTTTTTCCTCTGGTAGGGTTAGAAACATTTTTTTAAAACTATAAAAATGATAATAGATTTCCTTAGTAACACCCAGATGATATTATCCTAATATATTATAACACAGAGTGGCTTTCAGTTGTCCAAATACTTCCAGTTTTAAATATTCACATTAAGAAAATTTTCATTACAAAATCTTGACATTATCAAAGTTCCGCAAAAGAATGTGCCATTAAGAAACACAACCAACCACAGAAGTATAAAGATTCTGATTATTAAATAAAAGATTGCAAGTAATTTGGTTTCTTCATTTAGCTACGTTAGTATGAGCTCAGATCAGGACACAGGAAATACATCCACCTGTGTGCTTCAGCTGTACAAGTTTAACTCAGCCGAAAGCATGTAAGTGATTCAGAGGCTGTGAATTCAAGTTCACTTCCTTAATAATTAGTAGGATTTCAGAGTCAGACCTATGAGGCTATGTTGGGAATACTGTAGAA